GGATTGACTGATTTGATCTTCTTGCAGTCCAAGGGACTCTCAAGAGTCTTCTCCAGCACCATAGTTCAAAAGAATCTATTCTTCGGCGCTCGGCCTTCCTTATAGTCCAACTCTTGCAGCCATACATGACTACTGGGAATACCATTGCTTTGACCATGTGGACTTTTGTTGGCAGGGTGATGTCTCTACTTTTTATCATGCTGTTTAGGTTCACCATCGCTTTCCTCCCAAGGAGCAGGCGTCTTTTAATTTCATGGCTGCTGTCACAGTCTGCGGTGATCTGTTGAAGGCTAGCTTGTAGGATCTTGAGCATGACCTTGCTAGCGTGTGATATGAGTGCAATTGTGCGATAGTTTGAACATTCCTTGGCATTGCCCTTCTTTGGGATTGGAATGTATACTGACCTTTTCCAATCCTGTGGCCACTGTTGCGTTTTCCAAATTTGCTGGCAAATGGAGTGCAGAACTTTAACAGCATCATCTTCTAAGACTTTGAATAGCTCAACTGGAATACCATCACCTCCACTAGCTTTGTTGTTAGCAATGCTTTCTAAGGCCCATTTAACTTCACATTCCAGGATGTCTGGCTCAAGGTCAGTGATTATACCGTCGTGTTTGTCAAGGACATTGAGGTCTTTCTTGTATAGTTCTTCTGTGTATTCTTGCCATCTTTTCCTAATCTCTTCTGCTTCTGTTAGGTCCCTACCGTTTTTGTCCTTTATCATGGCCAGCTTTGCATGGAACGCTCCCTTGATTTCTCCAATTTTCTTGAAGAGATCTCTAGTCCTTCCCATTCTATTGTTTTCTTCTATTACTTTGCACTGTTCATTCAGGAAGGCCTCCTTATCTCTCCTTGCTGTTCTCTGGAAATCTGCGTTCAGTTGGGTAAATCTTTCCTTTTCGCCTTTGCCTTTCGCTTTCCTTCTTTCCTCTGCTATTTGTAAAGCCTCATCAGAAAGCCACTTTGCTTTCTTACATTTCTTTTTCTTTGGGATGGTGGTGATTGCTGCCTCCTGTACGATGTCACGAACCTCTGTCCATAGTTCTTCAGGCACTCTATCTATCAAATCCAGACCCTTGAATCTATTCTTCACCTCTACTGTATATTCATCAGGGATGCGATCTAGGTCAAACCTGAATGGCCTCGTGGTTTTCCCAATTTTCTTCAGTTTAAGTCTGAATTTTGCAATGAGTAGCTCATGATCTGAACCACAGTCAGCTCCAGGTCTTGTTTTTACTGACTGGATAGAGCTTCTCCATCTTTGACTGCAAATTATATAGTCAATCTGACTTTGATTACTGTGATGTTGAATGGTTTGCCTTGGAATCGGACCCAAATCATTCTGTCATTTTTGAGATTGTATCCCAGTACTTACATTTGCACTCTCTGGTTGACTATAAAGGCCACACCATTTTTTCTACGGGATTCCTGGCCACAGTAGTAGATATAATGGTCTTCTGAGTTAAATTCGCCCATTCCTGTCCACTTTAGTTCACTGACTCCTAAGATATCAATGTTCAGTCTTGCCATCTCATTTTTGACCACGTCAAGTTTACCTTGATTCATAGATCTTACATTCCAGGTTCCTATGCAGTATTGTTCTTTGCAGCATCGGACATTCCTTTCACAATCAGACACATCCACAGCTGAGCGTCCTTTCGGCTTTGGCCCAGCCGCTTCACTCTTTCTGGGGTTACTTGTACTTGCCCTCTGCTCTTCCCCAGTAGCATATTGGACACCTTCCAACCTGAGGGGCTTATCTTCCGGCATCATATCTTTTAGCCTTTTGATACTGTCCATGGGGTTTTCTTGGCAAAGATACTAGAGTGGGTTGCCATTTTCTTTTCCAGTGGATCATACTTGGTCTGAGTTCTCTGCTGTGGCCTGTCCGTCTTGGGTTTCCCTCCATGGCATAGCCCACAGCCTCATCAAACCACACAAGCCCCCTTGCCACGACAAAGCAGTGATCCATGAGGGGGTAATCAATATTAGATTATGGCTTTTTAGACCATGTTACTTCAGAAATGTAGGAAACCTCAACTGTAATGTTCGAACTACCTATTGCAATATTAAATTATAAATAATAAAAATGCCTATTGGCTTCCCGTTGTTAGCACTGAGCCTTGTGCAAAATTAATAATCAGGCATTGGAAACAAGTCAGAATTTTCCTGAAAAACTAGAAAGCCAGTCATTTAAGTCATATAAAATAGCTGTTTTATTTCACAGAATCAATTGATCTGAAGGGCAAGAAAGATCCTCGAGTTCAGTTTCATTCCCCATCTAGCCCTATGCGCCCCAAACTACACTTCCACCTGCTTATGTTCTTCTAGAAACATAACTGTTGACAATCACACAAAACACTGAGATGGTCATAGGTTAATACCATCCATATTCACTTTGGGTTTTTCTTTAATCCCACCCTCTTACACTCAGGCATTCAACAACGTTTATTGTGTAAAGCATAATTTCTAAGACCTCTCTGTATCTTGATGCAATATACTTAATAATTGTGTCAAAGTCAAAGGAACTGCAACCCCTTTGCAATTAATATCAAAGCAATTATGCTGTTTTTTTTTAACCAGCTGCACATTATTCCTTTTCTAACATGCTTGTTGTATGCATCTTTCCATGAAAATGAGAAAGAGACAGCATCTGTATATTTAACATGTCTTCCCATGCTAAATTATTTGCAATAGGAATATACATTCCAATCTAGTATCAAATACCAAACATTACTGCTGGTATCAATTCTATGTATCTATATTTTGTTAAAAGCAAGCAAATATGACCAAAGATGTCACAGAGGATGATCAGATTATTTCACGGTGCTATGGTGATATCCATTTTACATGCTTTTGGGGATGAGGAATCATGAACGACTAGGACTGAACTTCATATTGAATTTTGCTTTTTCTACCAGTGATTAAAGTGTACCTTTTTCTTGGCAGAATCTTTTAAGCTATGGGCCACCAAAGATATTTTACTGGTTTTTAACATGTAGAGTTACAGTATTTTTGATGATTAATTAATGTAGCTAATGTCACAGTGAATAGTCAGAAAGTGGTCTAAAACTGGCACAAGTCCTCCAGATAGGCAACATTACCATTATGATCCTTTTATTGTATGCTAGGTATTGAATTGATATTTGGAATGAACAAAAAGGGTTTCTTAACATGACAATAGCACTTCTCGTGGGAATAAATTCTTTGCTCATTGATAAAAATTCAAAAATATTAAATGCAAAAACAGACCTGACGAACAGTTAAGTATCTGTAATTAGTAGATGAACAATAAAAATATGTATATATTTCTATCTGTCCACTTGGTATCACACCTCTTTGGCACTGTGTTTTTAATAGGCCTTTGCTGCAACTCTTACATTCATTATTTCTTGTTTGTTGTTTAGTAATAAAAGGGCCACGCAACATCTTCTAATACTCTTGTCTCGTTGGCTTCTGTTCATATCTAGCAGTGAGCATTGCTCTTTCAAAATATAGTAGCAAATCTAAAATGGCTTGAATACTAAAACTCAATATGTGCACTTGGATCCTACAATAACCATAGATAAAGAAAACAAAAGCCGTCCTAATGTATCCATGAGTGATAGCACCTCAGGTATTAGTCAAGTTTCTGGACTTGGTAGACTACAAGCAACTTTGGTGAGCAGCATTTCTTTCTTGACCAGAATACTAATAGCAGAGTACTAATATAATATAATAATAGTACTAATAGCAGAATACTAATAGCAGATAATAGCAGAGAATACTTACCTCTTTAATTGTCAAGTAGCACTTAGCATGTAAGCATATAAGCTAAGGCAGCGGTAATGATCTCATTTCACTTTACATGCAATGGTCAGTTTGATGTAACTGGGGGGGGAGACAACTCAGCCTTTACTAAATATTACTCTTAACAAAATTCCTTGTTGTAATTACCATTCTTAAGCGATCACCACGTCTCACAGCCGCATCTGACCAAAGCAGGCTTTAAAGATAGGTGGACAAATACTGTATATGTATGAACCACGCGAACTTGCACTAACAGCAAGTTAAAGATGGACCCCTGTTGCATGATTTGAAATGCTGTAACCTTTTCCTTTGAGAGCATCAAGCTTATTTTTATACATTAACATTTCTTTTAAAGATGTTTTTTGCTTAGCACTACAGCAAATTAAAAAATCTGTTCCATTAGGGAGACTTTATTATACACAATGCAATGTTTCAGCCAGGTACTCTGTATACACATTGGAATTGTTCTTTCCTGTCAAGGAAGCCATCAGATTTATCCGTAAGCCTAACGCTATGCCTTCTTCAGAACATATTTTAAGAACATTCAAACGTGTCAGCTGCATTGACCTAGAAACATGCAATTTTGTTGTTGTTGTTGCTCTGCAACTAGACTATCAGTGTGCTGAAAGAAATGCTGTTAAAGTAGTTGAATGTCTGTTATGTAAAACAAGACTGCATTTTGCCTGCACCGCTCAGAGACCGAATATTTCATGTTTGCAAAATAAGGCAAATATTATAAGCTGTGGCTTTTGCCCAACACACATTTGAAAATAAAGAAAGACATGCACACAAATATAGATTTCACTGGAGGTACCTGAAGCTTTAAATGTGGTAAAGGATAAGCACAGGACCACCCCACACAAAGGTGTTACTCTCACCTCTTGTATTATAGGTAGCACCATACACACTAGAAACTGATATGTACAATAGACATGCACTATCCCGGGGGAGGGGGGGCAGAGCCTTTTGTTTTAGAAATATTCCTTTCCCACTGCTTTAAATCATGCCAACCAGTCAGCAGGCACGTTTCCTTAATTAAAACAAATTAACCTGGTTTACTGACAATGTCTTTCTGTACTTAGCATTCCTCCCAAGACTCCCAGAAATGAAAAGTGCAAACAGAGGTCCTTTCAGACTCTCCAGCCTGCTGCTGAAACAAGCAAAGATTTCCCATTGATTAAAAAAAGAGAATGGAAAGAAAGCAGACCAACCTTCACAACGTATGTCACTCCGGGTCCCAGTATCTTCTCATTCGAATGCAGCCACCCTTGGGAGACTTTGTTGGCAACATTACTCCCTTGATGCCAGTCTTCACCTCCCAGGTGCATTTCTTCTGGCCAGCTTTTTTTCCCTGCACTCATCTTGCTCTTGTCCTGCTGAGAAGATGGAGCAGCAGAGGCAAGGTTACATGTGTTGTCTGAAGCGTCTGCTGCTGAGCTACCCTGCAACTTGGAGACAGCAAGCTCCTTCACTGCAGAGGAGAGGTTTTTGATACCCAAAAGGCTGCCTGTGTTGGAGAGTTTCAAGTGGGACACTTTGTGCATAAGAGTGCAAAGAGTCGTGGGTCCATCCTGGTCCTTCTGCAGAACCTCAGGCAAGACCAGGTATGGTGACGGTGCCGAAGCTGTCCCACCTGCTGAGATTTTGCTGTTCATGGACAAATTATTAATAAGATCATCAACCGAGGTCACCGAATCATTCCTGAAGCGGTTATACTTGGTACGCTGAAGCATGCCCTTCTATCTGGAACCGTGCAAATGTTCGTGCAAATCAGGGAATCCCTGCGCTAACATAACAGATGATTCAGAACAGCAAAAATGGAGAGTAAAAATTTGATTATGTGGGGGATTTCTTTCTTTTAAAGAAAAATATTTAAAGGAATTTTGCATAAGGTTCCATGGTCAAGCTAGGTAAAGCGGTAGTTTTTCTGTGCAAGAGAAAGATCCCAGTCCTGCTCAGAGCTGCCAAGTCGCTCACAGTGAAAGCATGACTCACACAAATGAGAAGGACCCTTTTCAACAAAAGGCTCAGTGAACGCTGCAAATCACTTCCTGTAGGGGGAAAAAATCCACCCACTTACAGCACACCACCACCAATCAATTCTCAAATTTTCTTTCTCTATCTTAAACAGATACAGATTTCTCATTTTCCCTTCCTACTTTTTTTACAACCATATGATGCCTATGATAGATTTAAATAACTGCATTAACTTTTCCCCCACCTTAATGACTGCTCTATTAAAACATGGTTTTTCCCACCTGTATTCTAGATCTATAGCTTTATAAAATATGCCATATCTAGGCAGGAATACAGTAACATGTTAATGAATAACATTCCTGTAAACCCCAGCACACAAATCACTGACAAGGTTTTCAGACAACCATACTACACAGTAGCATTACAAATTCAACGGTGGGTGATAAAACTATAAATAATCTGATCTTTTCTTTCAGAAACTCTGAAATCTATTTTTAAATAGTGCCGTATCTTGGAAGATGTTTCACATCATAATTATTCCATTGCTGTTTTTCCTGGGGGGGGGGGATGACATCCCATTCCCCCCCCTCTCTCTGCATTGATAAATTTTGTTAAGATGCTGCATTACATTAAGCACTTATGTTTGAAGAAAAATACTTTCTGATCTATGGCAATGGCAAGAGGCTTCTGAAACGCGGTTCCTTTCAGTCTGACTGGCCACAACACAACATACCTTAATTTGAGCTCTCCATGCTTACTTTAAAGTTGAAAATTTCTAATGACAGAAGTCTGTTAAAGACTTTGCAGCAATGTACTGGTATCTCTGTTTTTTAAAAGTGAAAATGAAAAATACTGCAGTTTACACTTATAATACACACTTTAAAACCCTAATTTGAAAAGATAGCAAACTGACATGAAATCTGAATTATACCCTGGTAACTGAGTTCTAACCACACTGCAAATTATGAATCGGACTAACTAAACTGTGATTAGACTGATCAGCATAATGGCACTGCAACTTTTTAAAAACCAAACCAATCAAACTGCAACACACAAATCAATCAATCAACCAAAGGGTATCTTGCACTTCTTCCCCTACTAAAAGCTAAAGTACATAAAATGCAATCACACAAAAGCATCTTTCATTGCAGGTATTTAATGAGAATAATTGATGATACATAAATGAAGGCAGCACCTCTGATCCCAGTAGTGATGAATGGAAATGTCCTATTCATTGTAAAAGCGGGTTTCTAGTGATCTGCAGAGTAGCCTTTCATCATACTGCAAACCTGCTAAAGCATCTGCACTGCATTCATTTTTTTTCTTTCCTTCTGCTACCCTAGCAACAGCAAATATACATAGTATAGATCATTTCTGGTCTTGTGTTCAGTAACAAGCCAAAATCTCTGTCATTCAGAAATGATTCCCTTCATTAGAAGCAGATAAAAAAATGGGAAAATGTGAATGGAATTCTGTATATGTGAATGAAAGAGCTGGCTAGCATACCAGCATTTCTGTGAATGAAGCAGGGCCTTGCAGCCCTCTGCCAGGCAATCCCTTGGATGCTAACTATCTTAGCCAATAAGAAGCAGCCTGGATGACTCATTCAACAAGGACTTGCTAAATAGTGGAAGGTTCCATTTCATACATAGGGAGATTTCCTTTTTAAAAAACCTGTACAAAAAACAACCACAAAGGATGAAAATGTAATTGCAAAATAAATAAGGCACACTTTTTCTGATGTTTTTCTTCAGAGAGGTTTTTAGAGAATGGGCAAGAGCTGTTTGCATGTTGATATGTTTCTCATACCACCCTCCCACAGAATTTATTCCTGTAGTTGGTTTGCACATCCTGATTATCAGAACGTGATCAGGAATACCTTGAGGTCTATGAATTCACAATGCCAGATACAGTGGGAACAAACCTGTCCTTGCACGGTGCACTAAAAGGACAGGGAACAAAAGTTCCACCCGTGCTTCAGCACAGCAGAAGCCCTCAGGATCAGGTGATCTGCCTTAATCCAGTTGTCCACTGGAACAGTGGAGGTGTGGAGGCCCCTCCTCCAGCAGACCATGGCTGTGACAAGGCAAAGAATGGGTCACAGGGAAGAACAGGCTGGCCAAATCAAGGCTGTGCCTTCTTAATCACACACCAAAAAGGAAGGAAACCCCGGCAACAGGGTAGTGCAGATAGCATCCAAATGCTGCCAACAAGTTTCTGTTTTGGTTCATATTTCTTCCCCCCTCCCTGTCTTGGTGTGGGACAAGATCCTTTGTCTTTGCACGGACTAGTAAGCAACTATCTGGCCAGTTCCAGAACAAAGAAAGGAGAGTGAGCAGGACGACATCTGACCTGACCTGGGGTAAAATAGGCTGTCTCCAGGAGTGGCCCGCCTCACCCAATCACTGACTCAGACAGTGTCTGATTTCGCACAGGTGGTTTGTCCTGGGTTTGATACTGTTGGGAAGGGGTTTTTTTTATACTGCTTCATCACAACATCATGGTGCATTCAACGCTTCACAGGGTTTCCCTGGCTTTTATCCAATCTTTGGATAAAGGTTTGGGGAATGCTTGCAGCAAAATCTAGATGTCTGCCATGGGAGAGGAAAAGTTTGGATTTCCCCAATTCTGCTCACATGGCAGCCATTTTCCCTGGCCTTGTTCCCACCCTGCTAAAGGGAGCATTTTTCAATATCATTGTAGCAATCTAATAATCCGGGTATAAGGTTCTCTAAATTTTCAGCTTTCATTAAAAAAAAAATTAAAATCTCTAGCCCCTTTTATTGTGGAGACATAAGGGGAAGGCACTCATGGGCACCATGTTGAGGACCCCTGAGCTAAATACTTATAACAATATTCAACTGCTAGTTTAAAAAAAACAACAACAGAAAACCTAGAAAAGCCCTGGTAGTGTGGGGTGGAAGGGAATGGCCACTGTCAAGGGCAGCCCTCATGAGCGATGTAATGATGTAGCCAGAAACTTGCTGACATCACTCCCTGTGTTCCCAGAGGTGATGTCAGGGCATTGCTGTGGATGCTCAGGCATTTGGGTAAAACAGCCGTAGAGTTTTGGCCAACTGCCAGGGTGTCCCACTGTCCTCTGGCAACATGCTAACATCACTTATGGGAGCATGGGGAGTGACATTATCATGTGAGGATGCTGCTGATGTTCTCCCCCATTTCCCACCCCTCCCCAAAACTTGTATTTCTCAGGCTCCACACCCCCTCAAAATCTGCAGGAATTTCCCAATCTAGCATTGGTAACCCTACTCTCCATCTACTTGGAATGCCTTAGTTAAGGATTAAAAGGCTTCTAAATGAAAATGTCAACATGCTTTTAATGGCAACAAGTTCTGGCCCTGACCTGGATAGCCCAGGTGAGCCCGATTTCGTCAGATCTCAGAAGCTAAGCAGGGCTGACCCTGGCAAGTACTTCAATGACAGACTTCGTTGGGATACCAGCAGTCGGGAGGTAATGGGGGCAGGCTTTATTCAGCCACCTCGCTGAATATTCTCCAGGCCCCCAGTAAGGGTCAGTCATCACTCACCAGAGGTCACCATGACTTCCAGGTACACACACACACACACACACATACGTGCACAAACATGCACACACATGCACAAATGAAAATGGCAACAATGGCAGGGCCTGTAAGATGGAGCTCTTCTGCCAGGCTTTCAAGTAGGACCCACCGCCGCCACTGTACCACCACCATGTTGTCATCTTTGTTGGTGGAATTTTCTACAAGGTGTGCCGGCCCTGGGATGGAAGAACTGACAAAGTGAAGTACTAACCAGAAGAGATGTCAGCGTTCCCTGGAGCATATCATCAGAATCCTCATCTTGGAATTATTGGTTGAGCACTGATTTTAATTGTAATGGTTATTTATTGGTTTTAAATTGTTTTATGTATGGGATTTGCCTCTTATGTTAGCCGCCCTGAGCCCAAGTGGAAGGGCGGGATATAAATTTAATAAATAAAATAAAATAAATGAATGAATAAGTTGTGCCCTCTATCCAGTCTATGGCTTGCAGTCAGTATCTGAAAAAGGGATGAAAATTTTGAGTAGGATGTGACTATTACTCCTCAGAGGACTGGATATGGCCACACAGATCAGCGACTCACTGTTCGTCACATGGTAGAGACATCAAAGGGCTGAAAATGCACCACGATCATCTTGCCAGTGCCGTGAGTGAAAGGGGATTGCTTTGGAGCCCTGGAACAAATTCTGCCACAAAATGGATGTCGGAATTCGTGATGCCTCGCCACGCAAATAAGACGCCAGACTCCGGAGTCAACTTTAAGTTTGGAAACAAACGCCTCAGATCACGGCGGGAAGAGTGTTACAGCACACCTTGCGATCTCCTCTCTCTCTCAACCTCCTGGCGTTGTTCCGTTTCCTCCTTTTATTCCATCTCACACACAGTTATCACTTATTACATCTCACACTCAGTTATCACATTGATTCCAAACACCCTGTGTTCCCACTGAATTATTCCCCTTGATACAGGTGTCACCTTATCCCTTTTCCCAACCGCTTGTTTTCACTTGGTTAATTCTGTGCGGTTTAACTCTGTGAGGCTCGTGGTGTACCTCGGAAGAGTCTGCCGTGCCCGGCTCCTTGGTAGCACCCTCGATCCCCCCGCCGTTCCAAGGTAAAGCTCCTCGGTTCTTGCCCCTGGCACGCCCCCCTTTTCCCGCGGCTCTGTAATAGAAACATCTTCGCATCTCAGCCGGTTCCCATTGCTCTGTTCC